AGTTTGAATATATACTTGTATAGTTCTTTCTGTCCGTCCATCAGTTTGTCAGTCTGTCCTCTTGTCACAATTTTTTTTTACATTGGTCAAAACTATTGAGTGAAAAGAGATAAAGCCTTCCTGTTTCACATGTACATTACCTGCGACTAGGCCCTTCTAAATCTGGGGCAATTTTTGGCCCCGTGACCTTGAAATTGAATATTTCCCTAAATTTCGTTAAAAAATAACATTACTTTAAATTGGCCAATACTCTTGAAAAAGTAAAGACAGGGCTTTCATATAGCACATGTATATATTACCTGTGAAAAAAAACTTTCTTAATAAACTATTTTTGGACCATAATAGAATCTCAACTAAATTTTAATGTGTCGCAACTATTTTTTTTATGCAAATATCATCTTTTCAAAGTTTGTTTATAAATGGCTCGTTCATCAAATTGCAAAAACCTGTTCTGAAGTACACATTTCCCGTGACTTTGACCAAGAAATTTGACCTACTTTTCAAATTTACTTTCCTTATCTTATCTGAGTAGAAAAATTAAATAGGGTTTTCATATAAGACATGTTAAGAGACCGTACATTAAATCATCATTGTGCTCTCTCCTTCTCTCTCTCTCTCTCTCTCACACACACACACAAAATTGAGGTAGATTTGTAAAGACATTCACTAGATGTGATTTCCCTTTAAGATTTGTTTAGAGTACATATTAAAGTTCGGTTTCTTGTAAATAAGGAGTAAATAAGCCTGAGGTAATATGTGATTTATAAGGTACAAATGATTACGGTACAGAACGCGCCGTCTGGTCCCGGGGAAGTTCTACATAAAAAGAGCCAACTAAACTGCTAAAGAAAGGAAAATAAAATCAAAACTGATAATAAATTCTGTATGATTGTCCTCCAAAAATTATAAAAGTAAAAAAGTACTTTTTGGCAGAAGACCCCCATGTATCTGCTTGTAGTCATAAATTATAGTTATAAGCCTTGTCATAAGAATGATTACATGATTTATTGATTGTATATTGTTTAACGTCCCTCTCAACAATTTTTCTCTCATATGGAAACGCCACCATTTTCCGATAGAAGGTTGCAGTTTAGTCCAAAACTCGGCACTCAGGGCCATTGAGCAGTGAAGTATCTTTTTCGTGCCAATACATTAGCACCTACTGCGACACGTGACCTCGGTTTATACGGTCTCATCCATAGCAACAGTCTCCACGTCCCACAGTGGGATTCGATAAAAAATGAATACAACGAGAGAAAACAAAGTTTACGGTCTTACTGATAAAAATTGTCGACGACTTCTTTCTTGAACATATCTAGAGTTCTAGACTGTGGGTTTCTTCGTGGGGAGTAGGCTGATATGAATTATTATTAATTCTTCGATCCTTAACTTGGTTACGCACGCAACCACCCCACCCCACCCCCCGCGAATGCAATGCTCTGCAACTTCGTTGCTGGGGGGAGGGTACATTTACTTTTTTATGCAAGGAAAAACAATTGTACTTTTTACATTTCCATGGATTTTACATTTCTGATTCAAAGTAAATACTGGGTACAAAATTGTCACTAATTTATATGTTGTTTTATTAACCATTTTAGATTGTGTCAAGGGCAGTAATCATAACGAGTGATTTCTGGGTTGAAATTGAATGCAGGGGGGGGGGGGATAAAAAGTAGTATTTTCAAAATTACGCCTGTGTCTAAGTCACTAATATTTTTACCGGATTTTGGTTTGTCGTCAACTCAATTAATATGAGTTGAATTGAGGCTATTAAGACCAATAACAGTTAATTTTAATGAGAAAAATATGGAAAATTCTTGGTGGCTTTCGTTATCTCGTTAGGACTTTGTGGACACCACTGGCACTTGACATGTTAAAGTTGGGTTTTTTTTCATAAGTAAAACTTCCCAGTTCTTTAATGATAACATAGCATGGGTATTTTTTTTATTTATGAAAAGAAATTTAAGAAAGGTTAAAACACCAGGCGTGGATGCCATTCATACATGTATGTCGAGGTGAGTTGAATGTCCAAACCACTTTTACTTTAAGTATTTTAACCTTGATAACTTGAATTATCAAATATTCTTTCTCAGTCTCATTACATGATTGAGGGATCGTACGGGAAAATTGTATCAAATAAATAAACAAGAGGCCCAGGGGCCACAGCGCTCACCTGAGCACATCGGGCTTGAATTTACTCCCCTCCCCCCCCCCCTCTAAAGTAAAGTACTTGAAAAGAAGATTTTAAAAGGTTTCCCTATATATTCCTATGTAACACTTGGGTCGGCCATTTTGGCCCCACCCTAGCCCCGGGGGTCATGATTTGAACAAACTTGAATCTGCACTACCTGAGGATGATTCCACATGAGTTTCATCTTTCCTGGCCCAGTGGTTCTGGAGAAGAAGATTTTTAAAGATTTTTCCTATATATTCCTATGTAAAACTTGGGTTGGCCATTTTGGCCCCACCCTTGCCCCGGGGGTCATGATTTGAACAAACATGAATCTACACTACCTGAGGATGATTCCACATGAGTTTCATCTTTCCTGGCCCAGTGGTTCTGGAGAAGAAGATTTTTAAAGATTTTTCTTATATATTCCTATGTAAAACTAGGGTCAGCCATTTTGGCCCCACCCTTGCCCCGGGGGTCATGATTTGAACAAATTTGAATCTACACTACCTCAGGATGATTCCACATGAGTTTCATCTTTCCTGGCCCAGAGGTTCTGGAGAAGAAGATTTTTAAAGATTTTTCCTATATATTCCTATGTAACACTAGGGTCGGCCATTTTGGCCCCACCCTACCCCCGGGGGTCATGATTTGAACAAACTTGAATCTACACTACCTGAGGATGATTCCACATGAGTTTCATCTTTCCTGGCCCAGTGGTTCTGGAGAAGAAGATTTTTAAAGATTTTTCCTATATATTCCTATGTAAAACTTGGGTCGGCCATTTTGGCCCCACCCTTGCCCCGGGGGTCATGATTTGAACAAACTTGAATCTACACTACCTCAGGATGATTCCACATGAGTTTCATCTTTCCTGGCCCAGTGGTTCTGGAGAAGAAGATTTTTAAAGATTTTTCCTATATATTCCTATGTAAAACTTGGGTCAGCCATTTTGGCCCCACCCTTGCCCCGGGGGTCATGATTTGAACAAACATGAATCTGCACTACCTGAGGATGATTCCACATGAGTTTCATCTTTCCTGGCCCAGTGGTTCTTGAGAAGAAGATTTTTAAAGATTTTTCCTATATATTCCTATGTAAAACTTGGGTTGGCCATTTTGGCCCCACCCTAGCCCCGGGGGTCATGATTTGAACAAACTTGAATCTACACTACCTGAGGATGATTCCACATGAGTTTCATCTTTCCTGGCCCAGTGGTTCTGGAGAAGAAGATTTTTAAAGATTTTTCTTATATATTCCTATGTAAAACTAGGGTCAGCCATTTTGGCCCCACCCTTGCCCAGGGGGTCATGATTTGAACAAAATTGAATCTATACTACCTCAGGATGATTCCACATGAGTTTCATCTTTCCTGGCCCAGAGGTTCTGGAGAAGAAGATTTTTAAAGATTTTTCCTATATATTCCTATGTAAAACTAGGGTCGGCCATTTTGCCCCACCCTACCCCCGGGGGTCATGATTTGAACAAACTTGAATCTACACTACCTGAGGATGATTCCACATGAGTTTCATCTTTCCTGGCCCAGTGGTTCTGGAGAAGAAGATTTTTAAAGATTTTTCCTATATATTCCTATGTAAAACTAGGGTCGGCCATTTTGGCCCCACCCTTGCCCCGGGGGTCATGATTTGAACAAACTTGAATCTGCACTACCTGAGGATGATTCAACATGAGTTTCATCTTTCCTGGTCCAGTGGTTCTGGAGAAGAAGATTTTTAAAGATTTTTCCTATATATTCCTATGTAAAACTTGGGTCGGCCATTTTGGCCCCACCCTTGCCCCGGGGGTCATGATTTGAACAAATTTGAATTTACACTACCTGAGGATGATTCCACCTGAGTTTCATCTTTCCTGGCCCAGTGGTTCTTGAGAAGAAGATTTTTAAAGATTTTTCTAATATATTCCTATGTAACACTAGGGTCGGCCATTTTGGCCCCACCCTTGCCCCGGGGGTCATGATTTGAACAAATTTGAATCTACACTACCTCAGGATGATTCCACATGAGTTTCATCTTTCCTGGCCCAGTGGTTCTGGAGAAGAAGATTTTTAAAGATTTTTCCTATATATTCCTATGTAAAACTTGGGTCGGCCATTTTGGCCCCACCCTTGCCCCGGGGGTCATGATTTGAACAAACTTGAATCTACACTACCTGAGGATGATTCCACCTGAGTTTCATCTTTCCTGGCCCAGCGGTTCTGGAGAAGAAGATTTTTTAAAAATGCCATTAATTTTTAACAAATTCATGATTATCTCCCCTTGGAAAAGGGCGTGGCCCTTCATTTGAACAAACCTGAATCCCCTTCACCCAAGGATGCTTTGTGCCAAGTTTGGTTGAAATTGGCCCAGTGGTTCTTGAGAAGAAGTCGAAAATGTGAAAAGTTTACAGACAGACGGACAGACAGACGGACAGACGGACGCCGGACAAAATGTGATCAGAAAAGCTCACTTGAGCCTTCGGCTCAGGTGAGCTAAAAAAAATCTAACGGAGACAAGGCTATAAATAAACATTATGAAGTATATAATTAGTAAATAACTCAATTTTGATCCTGCTCCGTGACCCCATTTTTACTGACTTAAATCTTTTAGAATTTTTATAAATATCAAGATAATTTATGTTAATTTTTTCACTCAAATTATTTGAATTTGTTGTTAAAACATTCATTTTAAATTTGGTTGTTATATGGCGTTAAATAAAAACTAATAACAAAAGTCTATGAACTTTTTTTAATGACCCGCGTATCATACATTGTGTTTCGTTGGAAGACAAATACTAATGCTTACTTCATATTCAGTGATTCTTGTATTTTTAGCAACTCCTGATGTCCATCTCGGGGACGCTAGCTGTTGTGTTGATAGCCTCTAAGGTGATCTGTGCAGTAGACGACGAGGAATTCGTGGCCTACATATTAAGTTCTTCACTCTTTATGAATGGAGTCTGCACGATTTTAATGAACACAATCGGAGTCAGGTAAACGCATCTAAATTTAGCAAATAAAACACAATGACAATAGACATCCCTACTTTTATTATGAAATGCAGTGAAACCTGTGTAATTCGACATGCACTGGGAGATAAATTTTGTGTCGGAATAGACAGGTTGTCGGGATTGCACCGTTTAAAAAAGCATTGTAAAATAGTAAAATTTGGAATGAAATTTAATGTCGAAATTCACAGTATATCAGATTATTTGGGTTTCGGATTAGGCAGTTTTCACTGTACATTCAATCATATCTTTTAAAGGGTAAATTAAAATTGATCAAAATATGAATGAAAACATTTCGGTAATAAAAACTAACAGAAAAGTTTATTTCAGATTGCCTCTTTATCAAGGGGCCTATGGCGGTTATATTCTGCCGCTGTTAACCCTGCTAGAGATCGACCCTAATAAGTGTAAAGTGAAAACTCATCTTCAAGGTTTGTATCAGGATTTCTCGGCAGAATGTTGTGTTATCTATAAATATCACCTTGCAATCATACGTTCGTTTGTGACTGAGTTAGGAATTGCGAGTGAAATACGAAACGGAAGTGATGTAATTTTCATCGGGTTGGATATTAAGGTATTTTCGAAGGAATGCTCTCCCAATCGCATCATCTCGGGTCTTTCCGTGAGAGGTCGGGAAAACAACCTCGAATGTATTAACATCCTGTTTATTCAAATATAGGATGGACGGAGATAAAAGTTCCTTGTATAGTATATTTTAAGTAATATCATTACATTGAATAAAATTAAACTATATTCCACAGATGAAAGGTCTCCATGCATTATGTCAAAGATCGTGAAAAGGGGGAGTTGTTATGGCGTCATCCATGTACATTCGAGGTCGTTTTTCCGCTAGTCGGAAAGGCCCGAGAAGTTGCGATTGAATGCTCCCACTTTCATTGGCCTTGTCATTAAAATTTAAGCTTCTTTAATCTCAACCTCTATTGTTGATATTTAAACTTGATGTAACAGTATTCCTTATAATTATAGAAGTTCTGACTTTGATACCTTCTGTTCTATAAAAAGTGCCCGGATATTGGTGTGTTGTCTTTAAATACATTTAGATAGGGGAGAAAAATGATATTTTCAGTTGTGAATTTAGTCATTCAGTCATCAGGAGTAAAAATGATTTCCTGCATTATTATTGGAACTGTTACATTAAACTTTGTTAAACTCTTACATCGGAAGATACCTTGTAAATAAATGTAATACATGTATAAAAGGTGAAGAGGACGTATTGTGCTACAACTTGTTCAGAAAATATTCCTAATTTGTGATCGATCACCTTCCTTGTTAAAGAACATCTTATCAAGTGAGAGGGCATAGTTCTATATTAATTACACCTTATCGGTGCTAATTCTTCTCTACGTCTACAAATCAGAATCAACTAATTTACATAAAAGTATATATTTACATCGACAGCGCTTTATCGTTATATCAATCTTGTATATCCCAGTGACTTTGAAATAAAGACAGCGCGGAGATTACAACACCTGTTTCAAATATTGATATTTTGCAGACTACATAGCTGTAGGTTAATGCCAATTTCAGCTTTGTCATCATCAACTTCTCATATTATCACATTCACCTGTATAAGGTATTAATGTACTGAGTATCTTCTATTTAATAATTGGTATAAGTCGGGTTATTAGTACGATCGGTGTTATACCCAATGATGCTCATGACAAATAAGTAGAAGTTACAAGGCTTTCTCTAGTATCGTTATCCCTATATCAGTTCTTAGTATATTCCATGGTCTCAGTTGTTGATTATTGTGTTACCTGATCAATACTGAGAGCTAACAAAAAAGCGCCACCTGTCGACAGGAGAAACATCTCTAGTATTCAGAACAAGGTGTCTGTATATTTACTATTTGTACTATTGGAAAAATCTATGAGACGTTCACACTTTGTCCTCTCCATAAATTGTTAACTTTGATAAAATCTTTCCTTCTTCATAAATGTGACATGCATGAATGGAAAAATGCATTTACATGTACTTAATAAAAATTACCTCTTTAGCACATGTATGAACTTTGTCACCCCAAGATAACAGAGATCTAAGAAGTTATCCTACTTAAAGTAAACCTGTCCGTTTTCCCTTAGCTAAATCCATAATCGGTCTGTTTTTATTGTTGTTTTTGTCTTTATACATATGTCTGACCTCTTCCAAGGTGTAACTGTTGATGTCATTCGACAAATTTAAGTTTCTGATCTTGGCAGAACTTTCATGGTTAAATTTCCTTCTTGTTAATGCTCCAACTCATTTGTTTAGATTCTATCTGTTTATTAAAATATTTTCTGATATCACTATCATTGGTATTTGATGCTGTCAAATATCAAGAAACATAGTCTTTAAATGTAATTGTTCAAAATATGGACGTCACGCTTCATAATCGTTTTCTTTCTTGAACTGAAACTGTATTGAGACAAAAATGTTAATTTTAGCTAGATTTTATTTCTAGGGAATACTTTTAAAAATGCTACGTATATATTTTTAAATAAAGCATTTTGACCCCTATATTTTTTGGAATAGAACATTTCCAATCTACTCCTGAAAACATATACCAAACAATTTCTAAATTTTCATATATTGATTAATTTTTATTTTCACAGGCTTAAATTCAACAAACACTTCAGAGATAACCGTCAGCGAAGCTTCAGAATTACGGGGGGTTATATTAACAAATATGAGAGAGGTGAGCATTGCATCAGATTATTCAAATGGAAAAATATTTGGTTTTTTTTCAATTTCTCTTCAATTTTAAAATTTCGTCTTAAAATACCTTTCTCTGGTTTTCGGAGATCATATGCATTGGCCATGTTACGGTAACTGCGGGACTATATACTCTTCTGCAAGGCAAATTTATAAGATGGCGAAAAATTATATTTGGTAAAACAATTGCCTTTGCATCATATTTCACAAACAAGATGAGTTTGTGAAACACTATGCGCCCAGCGGCAACAAAGTTAAAAAAAACATATTTTTATCATATAGGTCACAGTCAAGGTCACAAAGTCATTGATCTTGTGACCGGGCGCATTTTTTTTAATTTATTTATTTAGTGTCATTTGAAAGAACTTGATTAGTGAAGTATGCATATCAAATATGAAGTTTCTATCTCTCATGGTTCAAAAAAAGCTATTTTTAGCATATAGGACACAGTCAAGGTCACAAGGTCATTGACCTTGATGTCATGTGAAAGGGCTTAATTAGTAGAGTTTACATGCCAAATATCAAGGCTCTATCTTTCTTCCTTCAAAGGTTATGGCGAAGGTTAAAGTTTGCCGACAAAAAAAAAAACTATATTTAGCGTATAGGTCACAGTAAAGGTCGCAAGGTCATTGACCATAGTGTCATTTAAAAGAGCTGAATAAGTGGTGTAGGCATACCAATATGAAGTCTATATCTTTCTTGGTTCAAAAGTTATGGTGAATGTTAAAGTTTGCAGAAAAAACTATTTTTAGCATATATGTCACAGTCAAGGTCAAAGGTCATTGACCTTGGTATCATTTGAAAGAACTTAATTAGTAGAGTATGCATACAAAATATGAAGTCTCAACCATTCATGGTTCAAAAGTTATGGCGAAGGTTAAAGTTTGCAGGCAAACAGACAAACAGATAAACAGACAAACAGACAGACAGACAAGACAAAAACAATATACGCCTCGGATCTTTCGATTCGGGCGCATAAAAAGAAATCATTTTGCCCTGCAAAAAAGTACTACTGCTGTTATCGTGAAAGGTTTGATTATTGAACACAAACTCTCTTTTCATTCGAGAATTGAACACAAGTTAAAGAGACACCGTAACGCACAAAGGGGAAAGTTAACAAATGTAGAATTTTTGCATGACCTGTGTAAATTTTGTTCAATCCTAAAAGTATTGAGTTTCAGAGAATTACAGGTTTAAGAACCTAAAAATTCTATTTCTATGAAGAAAAATAAAAGTAAAAATAATTTCAGTATTCCCCATATCGAAAATATTGCTAAATACTTTTTCCTTCCTATTGTACGTGTGCGCAGAAAGGTTGAATAAGTTTCCATTGTTACCATGGTCTAAAGTACCCAGGAATAATGTAAGTAGACCAAAAATTTGGATGCAATCTTTTTAAAACGTTGTTAAAACATATTTCTCACCTCTGAATGCTCCAGTTGAATGTTGTTTACAAGTTTGAGCTAAAAATAAAAGTGGCGTGATCTTGACATACACGAAAACAACGAAACGGTAGACACAACTTTTGTTTTTCCGGTATTTGTATTGTGCAGTCTTTTCTTGCGGTTTAATTGTCATATCTTAGCTATATTCTCATAATTTTCATGTCTTTCTCTGTATGCTACAGATATTGTAAAGGAAACACATGATTTTGACTCATTGTGCCACATAAAGCTACCACACCAACCCCCTTTTAATGCTTTCAAGCACCAAGTCAAAATATTCGTAAAAGAATAACTTATGATTATTTATTGATTGCGTATAATTTTGTATATGTATGTATATTGATTTTGGTCCACAGAAGACCCCGGGAAAGAATAGTGCTTGCACCAATCGGGTTACCTTCTTTAAATAAAGAATAATTATTATTCTAACTTCCGGCCAAACCGGAAGTAGACAAAAGTACACAATTTTTACCGATCTTGACACGTTTTTTTTTGGGTATTATCTGCCACTGGAAGCATAAAAGTTAATATTCCGTACCATCGAATTCACTTCCGGTCAAAGCGGAAGTAGCAAGAAATGGCTTACTTTTGCAGTAATCAACATAGATTTTGAGGATTTAAATCATTGGAGACGACATTACTCATTTTTTTAAAATAAAAATTACTTGGGTCAAACAGGACGTAAGACCTACGCGTTGCTTTGCAAAGAGCTTTGCTCTAGTTATTATTTAATTGGTTTAAGGGGACTGACTGTGATTTCCATTGCGCAATATTTCGCGCATCATAGTAAAAGGAAGCATATTTACTGTAATAAAGCAACTTTTTCGCTTAATTATCAAAATTAAACAGAATTAAGAAATTAAAGTGAAGTTAAATTTCAATTTTATTTAACTGATTTTTTAATCAATTTTGCAATTGATAGGTAGGTTGACGTCGTTATAGTGTGTTTTGACGTTATGATAAACTGAAGCTCTTAAAGAATGGGGTAATAAAATGTTATTAAAGAAAAAGTAATAAACATACGCTCTTGAAATTTAAAACATAGAAATTTCAGAATATCTCCATTATTTTTATTATTTTTCCATATGAAATCTTTATGCCCGTCATATTTTGAAGTACTCTATAAAACAGGAAAATTCGTTAATTTTTGACATTTTGAGATGCCCCCTCTGGTAATAAGACGGTAGAATTTTGTGTTTCTTATATATATTGTATTATATAGTATTTCTCATCAAACATTATAGTTTGAACAAAAAGTCTATTGTATAATTTGTATAATTTGCTTTAAAGTGCTTAAATTGGCACTTTGCTTTATAATCCAATAGTAAATGTACCTGTATTTTGGGACGGTCCCTCAAAAATACCTTGACGGTAGATTTCCCCTTAACTCGGCTTGTACACTGAAGTTAATGTAGGTTATATATGGAATAAAAATAAAGAGTTTCGCTATTGTAGTTTTCACACAATAAAACCCCAGTTGGCCACCTTAAGGTCAGACGACACGTTCCTAAAATATGTTTCTCTTCGCATTATTTAAAAAATGTTGCATAATTTTAATTTTCTTGAGATTTCTGCATTGTTTTCAATATGTTTTTAAATATAAGTATCCTAAAAATTGTGATATTCGCCATTCAGGACAGCGGATTACCCATAAGGGTAGTATAAGAAATAAAACCCTGTAGTATCTTGCCCAAATGCCTGGTAAGGTACCTTGATTTTTTGTGAGGAAACTTGTTTGAGAACCTAAGCTTCAACGACAAATTCTTGGGAAAAATTATGTGATGAAACGTATCAGTAATACAATAACTAATCTTTTTAATCCTATTTAAAATGATTATTTAAACAGATATAAATATACACAATAAAATGTCTTTCTTTGTTGTTAGTACGGGAATACGGGTAATGTATTTTTTTTCTGCAACAATTACGACATTTATTCCCCTACTAACAATCAAAGAAAGTATTTAATTGTTTAAGGTCAGACGACACGTTCCTCAGAAATGATGGAATAACCACTGTTCATTCAAGAAATCTCTAGAGGTGATATACTTAGTGTTGTTCATGCACTGATTAACGGCAATAGGTTCTCTTAAGAAATAAAATAGAAAATATTCAGTGGGAGAAAATTATATTATTCTAATGTTCCTTACAGTTACAGGGGTGTCTGATGCTGGTGGGGGTGATCCATATGTTGATGGGAGCCACGGGACTTATCGGCGTCCTCCTCCGCTTTATCGGCCCCGTGACCGTGGTCCCCACTATCCTGCTCCTGGGGATAGCCGTGGTGGACCCCATCCTGGACTTCTGTGTACCCAACTGGGGGATCGCAGCTCTGTAGGTTTTCTACATGTAGACTTCTCAATATTAATAGCAAAAGTATACAGTCAAATACGCTTATAGTGATTACGCTTTTAAAAAAATTTAAAACGAAGCATTTTTCATTACTCTATACGTAAAAATATATGTAGTCTTACGATTAATAAGGAATTACTCCTAGCGAAGCAAACAGACCGTGTCTGGCTCTTCGTTTCAAGCTTCTTTTACTACATTTCTCCTCGGCTTCTTGATATCTCATCATCTGTAAATTCCTTGATACAGCTCTTAACTTTAACGCATAAAGATATAGTTTATTCTTGGCAAAAAATTAAAGTTCATGACGGATTCTATTTCAGTGTGACTGTTACCGGCTTTGTGTTGGCTTTCTATCTAGCCAAGTATAACATGCCTGTAGCAGTTTGGACGCCCAAGGGCGGATGTCGAGTTGTCAAGTACCCAGTACATCAAGTGTTTGCTGTAAGTTCATCTTACTGAAATAGGGTTGTTCTTAAAAAAATAATGTAATTGATTATTTCATTTGTTGATGTGGATGAATTTTTTGTATGATATCTTAGTAATTTTACATTTACAGTATCTGAACGTGTTACCGATAATATTAAAAAGACATGGACACAGTTTTATATGAAGTTTTAAAATAAATTTTTAATGTTTATTATTAATTATCAATTTTACTTAATTCTAATGACCAGCAAAAATTTGAACATCGTTTGTTGATTAACAAACGAGATACAGAACTTTTCACAAGGCTTGTTATTTTCCCCTTACTACGTAAATATATTTGTCTAATCAGAGTTCTTTACAAGAAATCATACTATGAATTCGCCCCGTTTATATAAATTTTTTCTTCTCTAAATAAGATGGAAGAAACGAAAATAAAACGGCGCGAAATATACACGATATTATCATCTCATATGTCATGGCACACCAACATCTTAACATGATTTCGTTGCAGTACTTAGATAAAATTTGTGATTGTGCTTTTATTTTAATTTACTGTATACAGGGTTATTTTTGTCCCGTATTATTTTTGTCAATTCACACATGCCACCTGTGACTTGGGCGAAAGGGGCTAAATAGAACGGGGGCGAAAATCTCCCCGTATACAGTGTTTCAAACCTTTTTATTCTGAAAAAAAAAACAGAAACGAAGACTGCAAGCGTAACTTCTTTAGATTTTATCACAGATTTGGGAATCTTTTTTATTTTAGATCCTGATTTCTATCGTTGTTGGCTGGGTGGTCAGTTGGATCGTCACAGAAGCCGGGGGTTTTACGGACGATAAAGAAGATAAAGGTTACAATGCCCGAACGGACGCTCGTCTGGAAGGAATCGCGGCAGCAGACTGGTTCTTCTTCCCTTATCCAGGTATAATACAAACACATTCAAATCTAGATCTATTCATAGTTCATTTTTAAAGCATCCTCTAACACAGTAATAGGCATGTGTGTAATGCCTACCACAATTTAATTATTTTTTAGATCACCTGAGTCACTCAGGTGACCTATTGCTATCCGTTTTCCTCCGTCGTCATCCGTCGTGCGTCGTGTGTCGTGTGTTAATATTTGAACATTTTCAGCTTCTTCTCTGAAACCACTTTACCAATTTCAACCAAAGTGTACAGCATCTATGAGTAAAGGGGAACAAAAATTGTGAATTTCATGGTCCCTGTCCCCGCCCCGCGGGGGGGGGGGGGGGGGGGGGGCGGAGGGTGGGCCAAAACCACTAAAATTAATGAAATCTTTAAAAATCTTCTTCTTTATTCCTGGACATCAAGCAGGCAAACTGTTAGCATGAATGTGATGAGCATTGAGTCCTCTACCAAAATTGTGAAATTCATGGCCCCAGGGTCTATTGCTAGGGCGGGGCTATATGAATTATATAATTAAAATGCATTATTTTTTTGAAAATCTTCTCTGCTCCCGGGTATCAAATAAACTAGCTAAGTACATAGTTATGATAAGCAAGAAAGCCTCTTCTAAAATGGTGAATTTTATGGCCCCAGGGTCAGGGGTTCTGGTGTTAGGGTGGGGCTCTATTGATTATATAGTGAAAATGCATTTATACTTTGAAATTCTTCTTCTCTGCTCCTGGGTATTAAATAAGCTAACTAAGTACATAGTTATGATGAGCAAGAGTGCCTCTTCCAAAATTGTGAATTTTATGGCCCCAGGGTCAGGGGTTCTGGTGTTAGGGTGGGGCTCTATTGATTATATAGTGAAAATGCATTAAGTGTTTCAAAATATTCTTCTCTGCTCCTGGGTATTAAACAAGCTTACTAAGTACATAGTTATGATGATCAAGAATGCCTCTTCCAAAATTGTGAATTTTATGGCCCCAGTGTTAGGGGTTCTGCTATAAGAGTAGGGCTCTTTTGATTATATAGTGAAAATGCATTATTTCTTTGAAAATCTCCTCTGCTCTTGGGAATCAAATAAGTTTAGTACATAGTTATGATGAGCAAGAGTGCCTCTTCCAAAATTGTGAATTTTATGGCCCCAGGGTCAGGGGTTTTAGTGTTAGGACGGGGCTCTATTGAATATACATGTATTATGAAAATGCATTGATTCTTTCAAAATCTTCTTTGCTCCTGGGTAATAAATTAACTAATTTAGTATAAAGTTATAATGCCTCAACCAAATTTGTGAATTTCATGGCCCCTGTGTCAGAGATTTTGCCATTTGGTGTAAGGGGGGGGGGGGGTGAGGGTTAGATAATTCATGCCTCCTGGGTCAGAGGTATAGGAGGGGTGGGAGGATTACATAGTCTGAAAATAAATTAATGCTTTGATATCTGCACTTTGGTATTAATCAACCATTTATGATGATGAAATAAAATTTATAATAATATTTCCAAAATTTTTAAATATGTGGCTCCAGGGTCAGTGGTTCCTTTGGGGTGGGGTGCACAACTGGTTATAAAGAAGAAGTGTTCTCTTTGTTACTCTGACTACCTCTGGGTATTAAGTAAATAGAGCATGCCAAGTTTATAATTATGATAAATGGTGCCTCTTTCAAAAATTGTGAATTTCATGGCCTCTGGCTTACAACATACACCAAATTCAATTGTTGGAAAATTGTTACATGATATTCAGGCCCTTGGCTCTCTTGCTTTCTTACGGAAATTAATTTTGTGAATAATAATTGGAAACATTTACAACTCCTTTCGAATTTCATTGATATGGCTTGGATATGAAGTTATAATTATTGTGCACTGTGAATTTATCTTTAACAATTTGTTTTATATAAATACTAGTACAATGTTTTGATGCTACTGTTATAACAGGTCTCCATGGACCCATTTCATATTCGACTCCAGTTTTCCTAGGATTTTTAATAGCGACCTTTCTATCTATCTTGGATTCTATTGGTGATTACTACGCATGCGCTTCTATGAGTCACGTGCCGCCGCCTCCGCAGCACGCGGTAAATAGAGGCATTATGATGGAGGGGTTAGGGACTATTCTGTCTGGAGCTGTTGGGGCAACGCAAGCCACTACAACTTATGGTGGCAACATAGGATCAATAGGAGTCACAAGGGTAATTGTTTACTAGTATATTAAAATATTAACCTGGAAACGCAAGACACGACAACTTATGGTGGCAACATAGGGTCAATAGAAGTTACACGAGTAAGTCTATACAAAGAAATATTAACCTGGAAACTCAAGCAATGACAACTTATGGTGGCACCTTAGGGTTAATAGGAGTTACAAGGGTATGAAACCCAAGTCACAATAACTTATGGTGGCAACATAGGATCAGCAGGAGATGAAAGGGTAGGTATATACAAAAAATAACTTAGAAATGATTTTGAATGCACATTCAGCACAAGTTATGTGCTGTTGTTTTTTTTTTTTATATTTTTGATCAAATGTGAAAAAACAGATTGTTTAAACAAACTCTACCTGAATATTACTCAAAAAATAAACCCTGGAATCTTTAATTATATCCTTTGATATCCTTTTCTTTATGTTTCAGGTTGCCAGTACTAGTGTTTTTGTCGGGTGTGGTATTCTCTATATTATCTTTGGTCTGTTCGGGAAGTTGTCTGCCGTGTTCATTTCGATCCCGTACCCAGTTCTCGGTGGCTCCTTAATCACTATGATCGGAATGTTTATTGGGGTCACGCTTTCTAACCTCAGACCAATTTCTCTGACGTCATCTAGAAATTTAGCTATCATTGGAACCTCTATTTTATTAGGTCTTCTAATTCCAGAATGGGTTAAGAAGTACGGTAGTGATCTCGATACAGGTGAGAACAAACATGAAAAAATTTTGCTAAAATCTTCTTTATTTTGTTTGAATGTTTTTTAACGTCCCTATCGAGAATTTTTCACTCATATGGAGACGCCACTACTTGGCGGCGGAGAGCTGCAAATTTTGTCTTCTACTCGACACTCGGGGCCTTCGAGCAGGGAGGGATCTTTTTCGTGCCAGCACCTACTGAGACACGGGATCTCAGTTTATACGGTCTCTTCCGAGGGACCGGTCTCCACGTACCACAGTGGGATTCTAAACCGAGACGTAAGGATCAACTCCTTACTTTGCGACTCTAGAGCGGACACTCTAACCATTGCTAAATCCTTTTTAAATCAAAGGAAAAACACAATCAAAATTCAGAGGAAATTGATAAAAAAAAATTTAACACAAATTTTGACACTTTTAACAAGTTTGAATGTATTTGTGTATATGATGGTTTAAGAAATCAGGAATTTCATTCCTTCAAATACATTGCTAATATTCCCAGACTGCACAGTCAGGGAAAAGGTCAAAAATTGTCATAGGACTAAATATTTTAGTTAACATTTTGCCAAAAAGCTTTCAAATATGAATAAACACTATTTTCACGGTTCATTTATGTATATGTAGCTAATCATCTTAAATTAATGCATAAAACCAGAAACTAGTCAGTTATCAGTTCTATCAAATTTTTATATATAAAAGTGTTCTTTGTTTCAATATTGATTGGTGTATCGTTCACCGATTGTATACAAAATAAGATTGTGAGGTTTCAAAGTCTATAAATTTAAACACATTTCAAGCCAATTTCAGGTCCACACAGTGTGTCGTTTCCAGTATACAGTGAATACATGTACCGTGTATTATTAGTTCCTATGTGTACCGTGTATTATTAGTTCCTATATGAATATTTCAGGAAACCAGGACGTGGACTTCAGTCTAAAGGGTCTTTTTGGAAATTCTAATTTTGTGTGTGGTATTTTATCCTGCTTTCTGGACAATACTGTCCCAGGTGAGTTCCTGTAAACATATCTGTAACTTCATGGTCTGTTTGTGGAGACTGCCAGGAAATAGCTCCATTTGCAGTACGGGCAACGCGGATTATGCTCCGAAATCTACGAAATACCACTGCCCAAAATAATTATCGATGTAAACCCAGCTCCCCATAGCGGTGTGTTAATCCTTTCCGCGATACACCGCCGCGGTTAGTTCATAATTTAATCCCGAAACAAAATGTGCTGAATGTCTGCGGTAGAGGTTAACAAAAGGAATCAACTGTACACCGGGTAACCTGATCTCATCTTTAATATTTTAGAGGTTCCTGGTTACTCTGCTCCTGGTCTTTATTAATCAGGTCCTGTTAATGGACTTTTGAGTTTGAATACAGTTCGTTATGTCCATGTATTTAATCTATAAGTCATGGTAACATTCAACATTGATTCCGATGCAGATTACGTCACTTCCGTATTGCACAAGTAAAAACTATAACACTGAGTCAAACACACGCTCACAGGCAAGCGTTTTACTATATCCCTTCCAATTCCGTTTAGAGGTGAAAAAAAACTTAATTTTGATAACTGGAGGAGTTTTGTTTTTACAGGCACTTTAGAAGAGAGAGGGATAGCGGCGTGGCAGTCGGACGAAGAGGCGGAGAGCAGTAAAACTTTATCACTGACTTTTGAGGAAGGGGTAGAAATCTACGAAATACCACTGCCCAAAAAAATTAAAATGTGGGAGGGTTGGAAATATATTCCGTTCATGCCGGACCCCAAGAAGGAGAAGAGGGAGAGGAGTTTATCTGGTCAGTGGTCCCGGAGAAAGAGCCTGGTGACGGGTGTGGGGAGCACTGGCTACTAGAAAAATCAAAGTACTGAAAGTACCCGGAGAAAGAGTTTGGTGGCAGGGTTCGGGAGCACTGGCTACTAGAAAAATCAAAGTACTGAAAGTACTGAAAAGCGGCTACTAGAATAGAAAAAAAACTCGTGTTATGTTAGAGAGCATGAACTTAGAGCTTGTGGTGTACTGACGGCTTACACTGGGGCGCAAAATCTCACTTTTTATTGTTGCTTTTAAATGTATTTCTGAACCACAGGCACTTAAAGTTACTTGTTTTTTCTGATGTAAAAGAAAAAAAATCTTCATATCTAATAATACCCGAGCTATTAGATTTGGAATTTTTTTTTTAATAAGAAAAATAAGTTATGTCATGTGCCTGAATTCTGAAAATATGTGATGTCTGCATCTAGGTGTCAACACAGAGTCAAAATGAAATGTATTGTAATATTGATTATTGATGATAGTTGATGCTTATTTTAAATGTATAATCTTATTATGTATAAATACCCAGGTAAAATAGATCAAAACAAATCATGAATTTTAAAAATGATTAGAGGGTTCTTACTAGTAAGTAGTTTTTATTATAATTATATGGATGAAATATCATTAGTGTTCGTTGATATAGTAACTGTAGAAAAAACGGAAAACAGTACAATTTTGAATGAAATGCTAGCTTTGGTCCAAAAGGGTATACTTTATATATGTATAAGGACAGAGATGAAGTGTTGTGAGTTTGCATGCTATATGTGGAGCATATTTGAAGAGATCGTTTTCTTTTTTTCCAAAAACAGTCCCAAGAAAATTCTGAATTAATCTTTTTTATTAATTAAAAAAAAGAATTGTATTTTCTTATAAAAGAAAAAAGTAAATGTAAGGAACTTGTAAATGCGAACCCATTTAATCTATCACGTGTCTTTGCATGAAATAAAATTTGCTGAATGTGAACTGCTGATTACTTTGAATTAATTCCTGTTTTCTTTCTTATAGTTTCCGCCCTGTGCTTTGGTCGGTAACATCTGCTAACTTCATCCTCGTTTTATACAAGATAGAATTTCGAATGTGCTCTTTTTCTTTCTTGTCATTGTAAATAGTTTCGATGTATGTGTATATGTAAATAAAATCTTCATCTTAAGACTCCTCTTGTCATTCTTCTTTTTAGTAATGTTTCCAATGTCTTTTCCTTTACAAATTAAAAAAAACCACCCCTTTTTATAAATGGAAAGCTTGATTTTAATCATGTGTTATTTATTATGTTCCCCAAACGAAGTTGGGGAACATATTGTTTTTACCCTGTTTCTTATTATTATTATTATTATTATTATTATTATTATTCGTGATTAAGAATGTAAACGTTAGATTCCAACAGCCTTCTCTCTTTCTTTTCAAACTTGAAGAGTTGGTGTACTGGGAAAATTTTGTCCTCGAGTGATCTTGTAAACTACACATCCGAGTAAGGTAAAATGTTTTTAGGGTCAGTAGACATGTTATGTAGATTTGCCGTTTAATTACAAAGGTCATTTTGCGCGCACGTGCTTGCAAGAGCGCGCACGTGCAACACGAAAAATGACGATTTAATTGATATCGGCGTAACTTTTTACATTTTTGATGAAATGCTTTGAAACTCATAATATAAGGATATATTAGTAGCATAGACAATAAGACATGGTCAAAATAGCAAGATCTCACGCGCATGCACGTGCGCTTCGCTCTGATTGGCTGAAACTAAAGTCTCAATATCTTTCTTGTTTTTTGATGAAATCCTTTGAAATTTTGAACATAGCCATTCATTAGGATACCCTACAAAATAATTTATAAAAATTATCATGAAAACACGTGCATGCACGTGCGCTGCAATCTGATTGGCTGAAACTTTAAATAGCTATAACTCCCTTGGTTTTCAACCAAACATATATTTATATACCATCTGTATGATAGAGTATCAGGATGTGATTTGGAACATAGATAGATATAATAGACTTCTACAAGAAGGTATGGTCACCATGCACATCCATACACGTGCGTGTACGTGCGCTGCAATCTGATTGGCCGAAACTTTAAATAGCTATAACTCCCTTAGTTTTCAATTAAACAGGATGAGATTTGGAACATAGATAGATATATAATGGACTTCTAAAGAAGGTATGATCACCATGCACATCAATACACATGCGTGAACGTACGCTGCAATTTGATTGGCTGAAACTTTAATCAGCTATAACTCCCTTGGTTTTCAACCAAACGGAGTGGGATTTAAACATAGAAGATGTAATGGACTTCTACAAGAAGGTATGTCACCATGCTCATGTATGCACGTGCGTGCACGTGAAATGAATAAAATCAAAAATACACTTTAATGAGCGTATTCTTGAATACTTTTGGATTAAATACTTTAATATTTAGTATATTAAAGTATACAGATTGTGTAGAAAAGATGATATGGTCATTACGCACATGCATTCACATGCGCACGCGTGCAGTGCTAAATTTGAATGAACTTGGTACCCTTCTGGGTAAACGTTGTTAAAGTCTCAAATGCATAAAGTTTGTCTTATTTAATGAAGCTTACAGGGAATATGGCACCGTTTTAAAAGGGAGATGTGGGAGCGTTATGTGTATATGTAAATAAAATCTTCATCTGTAAGACTCCTCTTGTCATTCTTCTTTTTAGTAATGTTTCCAATGTCTTTTCCCGTTAAAAAAAACAATTAGCTTGATTTTAACTATTATTTTTCGTTCTATAATTGACGGTTTAATAATTCTAACGCAAAGCCCGTTATGTATAAATCTTCCCACGTTTCTAACTATTGTTGATGTCCCTGGCATATCTAACAAACTAGACAGTGATTCCTTATATTTACAATTCCACTGTGAAATAAAATTGCAAATTTAGATTTTTAAACTGTTCTGTAAAGCATTTAAATTGCGGAGTTAATATCTCCCAGTTGACAAACACGTTGATGAAACAAGGATATCAGCAGTCTCGTTTAAAGTCATCAATTCATAAATTCTATGGTCCATACAATGACCTTGTCAGCGAACACAATTTATCATTGAGTCAAATGCTGACTGACGTTTTTCATACCAATTGTTAGTCCATTTTTTACAAATTTTTCCGTTATTTCCCGATCATGACAGGGACCACACGGCGGGTGTGACCGGTCGGCAGGGGATGCTCACTCCTCCTTGGCACCTGATCCCCCCTGAAGTTTTGGAGCTAGCTAGGTCTATGTTTGCTGTGCTCCTATTTTGTATCATTTCATGGACTTTGAGTTTCAATGCAGTTCGTTATCTCCATATATTTCATTATATGAGATCTTCTGTAACAATTGCAATAGTCCCTGCCCACTGACGTCAGACACAAAGACATACGCACAAGATCTAGATGCCTATCAGGCCGTTTTAACTCCTGGCCTTTTAATATGCGAAATTTATTTTTCGGTAGAATCAAGAGAATCAACTTTCCTAACTTTCAAAGGTCACAGATAAAACAAATAGAAATGGAAATATAAGAAAAACATCAGGTGGAGAGCAAACACGAACCTCCGAAAACAATACAGGTAAGGTCAGGTACTATAGGGAACAAAGCATTCCCTGTTGAAGGTATGACTCGCTGTGAGGCCTATGCAAAGTTGGGATATACCAAACATTCCTTAGTACTAGTAGATAATAAGGCCTAATGATTAGTATGGAAAACATCAGTCTGTATTCGAATTCATGGTATCGACCATTAAACTTCAAAGAGATGACTTGAAACAAACCTATTGGTATTCTTGTTTTATCAAATTGTTTGTCAAAAGTTTGACTCGTTTTAAAAATTGTTCCCTATTCCCTAAATAGTACCCTATTTTGTTTTAAATCAACTTGAAGACATAAATATCATGCCACAGCTTACCGGTATGACCGCCCCATTATATAAGCCTTTTACGACAAGCAAGGGGTACTGAGGATTAAGCTTATAAATGTCATAAGCTTATGTATGCTTAATGAAAATTGAACATATTCTATTAAAGTCATCACGTTTCAAGTCCACTGGTATGTACTGAGTCCAACAATAAATGAAATAGACTATATCTAATTGATTAATTGTTTAAATTTTCATGTTTATATGTACCATATTTGTTGAAAAAAAAACATCTCTCTATGATGCCAAAGCCTGGATGTTGTTGAATATTTTCGGGAACCCGCTATGTATCTTTGTTTTTAAGGATTTTTATGAAGTTTCGGAATCCAGTATAGATATTGTAATTCAAATTCATTTTGGATCTTTGGGATATTAAAATATTCAAAACTGACATATGATTTTGAAGAATTTTTTTCCTTAGAAAGGGAACTATGAGTTTACTAATAAGTTGCATTACCTCTGGAAGAATCAAATCCAAGTTCTTCAAAATACAATTTATATACTAGCATTGAGACTTACAAACGAAAACAATGTTTTTACTTGCTCTGTCAGCAGGGACCAGTTCGTACTGATCATGTTATATATCTCATTCTTTTTTAGTGGCGCATTGGTTAGAGCGAGGTTATAGCGTCTGCTCTAGAGTCGCAAAGTAAGGAGTCAATCCTTACGTCGCTGGTTCGAATCCCACTGTGGGACGTGGAGACAGGTCCTTGATGAGACCGTATAAACCGAGGTCCCGTGTCGCAGTAGGTGCTGGCACGAGAAAGACCACTCCCTGCTCAATGGCCCTGAGTGCCGAGTATAGGACAAAATTTGCAGCTGTCCATGTGAATGAAAAATTCTCGAGAGGGACGTTAAACAATATACAATATCAATCAATCAATCAATCAATCGATCTTTTTTACTTCTTGTTTATTGAATACAGAAGGATAGATGATAATCATATTGTCCCTTCATCTGTTAATACTCGATTGTAGCATAGATCTCATACATTTAATCCATTCTAACAAAGTGTCAACGTCTTCCTTTCCATATCTAGTCCACCGCCTGCCGTAATCATCTATACAGAATCCATGATATACATGAAATTCTGAGCTAGATGAAGGATCGGGGCTTCCTATATTTAGGACCTGTTAAAATATCGGTAAGTTGTATTTGCTGACAAGGTCGTTGTATCAAGCAAAGAACTTACGAAATGATGACTTTAAACGAAATTACGATAACATAATTAAAATTTGTGATGTTTTCATATTCAAATAGCTCATACATGCCACTGATAAGGATTTGAATTTGTTTTGTTGAAAAGAAAATGAGAGATGTCTGTTCAGAGAAACCGAGGATGCAACATATTCGTGACATAAATTTAGCAGATAGGCCAATATATCCATTCAAATGCCCATGCAACATTTATCAAGTCAGTATAGAAAATTTCAATGTAACAACCCGACTCTTTCTTTTACCTAAGCTAATCAGTTTTAAATGAATCAATATTAAGATTGCAGAAACAAAAGTAAAATAATCTTACATTTTTACACAAAATTAACAGCAGTTCATCATTTTAAAAAAAACTTGGATTTAATTCTAAAAGTGGTAATCCTACTTATACTCATTATTCCCTTTCTGAGGGAGAAATTCTTCAAAATCATATGTCAGTTTTGAATATTCTTAATATTCCACATATATTGTAGAATATTGGATTCCGAAACTTCATAAGAATTCATACAAAGATACATTGTGCGTTCCAGTAAATGTTCAACCAAGCCTCTTTTGTTACTCCTCACTAAGATATTGACAGCAATGAAGGAAAAACTTTAAGAGTACTGTGCAACAATATATTCAAGAAGTGGTTGTGGATACTCAAAAATTCCAAAGAGTTTTTGGACAATTTTTTGTGAATACTCAAAAATTCCAAAGAGTTTTTGGACAATTTGAAATCACTAGATTTTACCATTAAAAACTTACGAAATTTCACCTGTACGAGGGTTGCCCGTAAAGATCGTGGACATCATTGATAATTACTGACAAACATTGACAAAATATATGAAACTATTATTTTCATTAAATCCATGTTTCATTTTATTAACATGAAAGTTTTCAACAAAAACAAAGCACAAATAGTTATATTTTTATTAGATTAAAAAAAGACATACACTCATACCCGGATCATTAAAATGAAAATTCTTGACGTTACCCGACGTCAAAAGCACAACGAGTACATGTAATTTTTCTCAACATAGTCACCGTTTAACTCAATACATTTTTTATGTCGCTTTAACCACTCATAAAAATGTGCACAAAATGTTCAGGTTTCACACGTAAAATAATATATTTAACAATGCCTGTCTCATATCCTGTAATCATCCAAACTCCACGTAAAAAGATTTTATTTGCGGAAATACGGCAAAGTCACGTTATGAAAGTCATTTTTACAGCACTGCAATCTCGGAATGATGGTTTTCCATCACGCATGTAATCCTATAAACTGTTCCTTTCGTCAGAAAATATTATATGCCACTTAAATACTAATGTACGGCTTCTTTTACTATGTATTCCCGATTGTTTACAAAATTTATTGGTCTCTGTAGGTGTTTATCCGATGTCTACGCAAAATTTTATCACTGCTCACTGCTCCACCTATTCCGCAAACGTCCCTTTTTGGAACAATTCCGATCCATCTTAATAAGTTCTAACTTTGATTGCTCAGCCATTTTACAACTTTAAACGTTCAAATTCTGCATGTTTGACGTGATAGCTTGTGTCAACCTCATAATGTAAAAGTCATCCAGATTTTCGCAGAATTTTATAAAATACATATGAAATTTATAAAGTGATATATAATTTCTTAATTAAAATTTTGCGGTGCTGCGGGTCTCCATTCCAAGTCTAATTATGAAGCCATAATTAAAAGGAAATATTTGAAAATGAATAAAATTCTACATTTTTCAATTCACATTTAGTAAAGGATTAGAAATATGCTAATAATAAATATCAATGACACAACTTTTATTTAATTCTTAGCTTGTCCACGAACTTTACGGACAACCCTCGTATACACAACCATTCCCTACTAAAAAATTAAAGTCCAGGCTTTTTGATATTGACAGCTGCTTTCTCGAAAAGTGGAACTCGTAAATTTACTTACCTGGTCATTGGTCATTTGCAAAATTATTTTGTTAAAACACACTCTGATTGCACACGCAAATACTCTGAAGCTGAGTTTCTGATTTACAATATCTATTGGTTTTTGGAGACCAGGTATTCCAACAATCTATTGGAATTTCCATGTGTATCAATTGCGTTCCAATATTAGCAGACTTATTCTTGTATTCATATGAAGCAAAATTTGTGCAAAATCTTATGCGTGAAAAGAAGAAAGCATTTGCTGTTGGCTTCAACTCGACATTTAGATATATCGACGACGTATTGTCAATTAACAACGGTTATATCCATTCCTACGTCGATACGATATATCCTTGAGAGCTTAGGATAAAAGATACCACAGAGTCTGACACGTCTGTTTCAAACTTGGTTATTTTACTTGAGAAAACGTTAATGTTAATCTAACAAACAAGCTATATGATAAACGTGATGACTTTCACTTTTCTATTGTCAACTTCCCTTACTTATGCAGCAATATACCTTCATCACCTGCATACGCAGTGTATATATCTCAGTTGATTCGATACACAAGAGCATGCTCTTCGTATGAACAGTTTCTAAAACGAGGTAAATTATTGACAAGCAAGTTGATGAAACAAGAATATCAGCTGTCTCGTTAAAGTCATCATTTCGTAAGTTCTATGGTCGATACAATGACCTTGTTACCAAATACAATTTATCATGGAGTCAAATGCTGACTGAAGTTTTTCATACTAGTTGTTTGTCCTTTATTTATCCATTGAATTGACGACAGATTTTTCCGTTATTTCCCAATCATGACAAGGAGCTCACGGCGGGTGTGACTGGTCAGTAGGGGATGCTCACTCCTCCATGGGACCTGATCCCACCTCTGATGTTTTGGAGGTCCGTGTTTGCTCTGCTCCTTTTTGCATTGTTTTATGGACTTTGATATTGAATGCTGTTCGTTATCTCCATATCCTTCTTGCAGTGGTGGATCCAGAAATCTTGAAGGGTAGGGGGGCCGTGTGGTCTAAATCCGCTTATGATTTTGGCATTTGATTTAAAGATCTTTATAAATATTTTCATTTAAGAAAAACCACATAACTTCCTGGTAGAAATTAATGTGCTATAAATCAAAAACACAATCAAGATTTTGTCAGAGTGAGAAATTAATCTTCAATTAAGCACTACTTTGACATTTATAATATTTCATCATGGAACAAAATTTCTTAACACCCCTTAGTTAAATCACCGATCGATATTTCATGTCTTTTTTTCAATTTTACGTACAGACGTCTATAAATCGATTTTTAAGTTGCTTCACTGAATATATGCCACTTATAAAGAAATTCTAAATAAAGTGCGGGAGTAAGAAATGCCAGGTATTTAATATATAAAGACCAGAAGTCAGAGGAAGGTGTAACAAAAGAATATCTTTCAATGTCATACTCTGACAAAGGTGCAACTGGCAAGCTACGAACTTGTCGAAAACATCTATAAATAAACTAGAATTCCTGGTCTAAAAATGGACTTCATATCTCTCAGAAAACAGGTAAGTAAACTACTTCCAATTTTTCATTAATATTTTAAATTATTAACTTATGTTTCTTAAAATTCACTTTTTTAAATATTTGTCTTTAGGCATTGCCTTTTATTAAACGTTTATTAAAGGCTTTCACAAGCAATGTTTATGTTTACTATGATCGTGAAATTCTAAACATTGGAGCCCAGCAAATCTTTACGTTAGATCGAACGTTTTGTCCTTTTAATCTTTTAGATTTACGTGTAATATTTATTTATTAAGGGTCAGAATTTCACCCCCGGTGTATTTAGTGTTAGAAAGGTAAAAGAACGAACAGTTATTAATCTTAAGAAATCTATAAATCTAACAATACAGTTTAGATTATCAATCAATTTGTCAAATTGTCTGTAAACTTGAATATATGAGAAAAACAAAGATCATGTAAATTTATTCCCAGTTCTTACTGTACCACACTGATTTTCTTTTTATCAATACTAATTCGTATTAATAAGTATCTTGTCTTCTTCAAATGTCACAGCAATACAGTCCACATTTCAGCTAAAGTTAAAGTTTTGCTATATATGGTTATTTTTTTCTTTTTTGTTGTTTCTGTCTCTCTTAATTTTGTCCAATGCATTTTTCCTTTGAAATGCGTCAATTAAATAATAATAATAATAAAACATTATGAAAATTTGCTTTTTCATAACCATGATACAATTTTTATCCATGCTAAATTTTCCACAGCAGACACTATGGATGGTCGCTTGATGAAGAATCATCAGAGCAGAGCTAAACGGTCTAAAGGTTGGGGGTTTTATGTGCTATATAGAGTAATTGTTGATGTGCAGTGTAGGAGGAATTATAAGATCTGAAGGATGTATAAATAAAAAGTTGTATGGATGTTTTTATCGCTAATTTTTATGACAGATTTGCAAACACAAATTTCTGTCACGTCTATGTCTTGAATGGTAAATATTAAATTCTGTAAATGATATTAACAGATTTCATGGAAAACGCATTTTCGCTTCTCTCATCCCCTCTACAATTCACCAAGATTACTGTTCCTGGAGCTAGCAGTATAAATCATATATCTATAGACTCTTCTGACAACCTCTGGACGCACAATTCCTCTAAAGAGCTCTTAAAAGTAGATCGGAACGGAACAGTATTACAAAGTCTTCCTATCCGATCCTTATACAGCGGATTTTATGACACAACAGAAAAAGGAGGCCTGTTATTTGTTGATATGACTGAGCAAAAAGTGAAAAAGTTTGGAACAGACGGCAACATCGATCTTCTGCTTACAACAGAGTGGGAACCATATTGTATTCACTTTTCTCGAATCAATGGCGACATCATACTGGTACAGTTTACAAGAATATCAGAAGGAAGATTTCTCAGTAAGGTCACAAGGCATGACAGTACCGGCTGGACACAGGTCATAGAGGAGGATAAGAAAGGACGGCGACTGTATGAGAACATACCCCAATACATCACAGAGAACAGGAACGGGGATATCTGGACGTCGTCAAGCTGGGGTCAAGTCGTAGTAGTGGACAGCTCGGGACATCATCGCTTTAATTATGCAGGTCAAGCCTTCCAGTCCCATTTCTCTCCCAGGGGTATCTGTACTGACATTTTAGGACAAGCATTGGTGTGCAATAGCTGGCAAATTAATCCTAGTGTTCATCTACTTGATCAGGACGGTCAGTTTCTACGTCTGTTGATGACGTCAGAGGACGGTCTGCGGTCGCCTACTGGTGTGTGTATTGATAACAAACAAAACATTTACGTTGGTCAACAGGTCAGTAGTACAATTACTGTGTACAAGTATCTAGACCTCACATAAGCTTAGTGTTCCTATAATTAGAAACACAACATTGATCACGTGATATTAAATAAACATATTGTGATTGTCTGACGTCACGGCGTCAGACAGTACTAGATTTAACCAGGGCTTATTTATGCAGTCGTTCCATGAAATTGTTTAGATAGTTCGATGGTGGAAATTTCGACACATGCATTATCTCCAAAGACGTTCGTCCCAGGAGGAAATGAGCTTTTATTTACATTACTGAATGTTCTTTTCTTTAGTATAATCCGTGCTTTCATCTTTGATCATGTCCGCTTTAGTTCTCTTTAAAAAAAAAAAAGCCTTTAGTTATTATATAAATTTCACTGTTATTTTTGTGTTGTGTTTCAAAGATTAAATCATTTTACATGTTATGGTTAATTATTTGATTGCTTATTTTCAGTAAAATTATACCTTGACATTGAAATACTAGTACCTAAACATCAGGCACGTGGTCAAATATTTTCTCATAGTTGCCCTGCTCCCAGTATTGTAAAAACTTATAATACAATGCCTGAGAAAAATGCATTGTAAATTAGTTTGCATCTTCTTGTTTGTTTTCCTAGATACTTCGCGATTCAGAATTTTTCATCAATCAATTACGTAACAGTGTTAAGTAGAGAATCTTTGTACATCAGATGGTTTGAGAAGCAATTAAATCTTTCAAGAATAGCAGGGGAATGGTCAGCATGTGGAAATCTCTGCCAAGATTGTTATCGCTGTTTATACGCGCCATTAAGTGAGTGGGCAAAGATCTTCCCATTGATTTCATAATTTACAACCTTCTCTGTTTGTTGAATAAAAAATCAGTTAGGTCATTTAACAAATTAAACATTACTTGAAAAATGCTGACCCGGGATCTTGAAACATGAAAGCATAAGTTGGTCAAAATCTTTATTTTATAATAATAGACCAGAATTAAAATATTTTTAATATTGTTTCACAGAGATATTTTTATGTGCAAATAAAGAAATAAATTTCATAATCAATAAATATTTTATCGGCGATAAAATATTTGACTTGAGTCAGGAGCTTAAAATAATTAATCTTTGTACATTATCGTGTATACAATATTGATTACGCATGGTCTCTTGAAGATATATTATCGAACGAAAGAAATTATATAACATAATATATTACAAGTTTATCTTTTAAAAAGATAGGTGAGCTAGCGCCGTAGCAATTTTTAAACACAGAAAGGAAGATCCGAGGTCAAGTGATTTATTTTGCTGAATTCTTTAATTTTTATCGAGGCTGGAGAGTGATAAAGTTATTATTGTTTTGTAAAGCGTATTTTATAGACACATAGGTAAAGAAACAAGGGGGGGGGGCTATTGGAGTTTTGGCGCAACGGAGCATATATGACCTTTACTGGAGAGGGGGGGGGCTCTATATAATATGAAGAAGATGCCGGTTGAGACATTGCATGTATGAGCTGATTTAAAGAAGAGAATTTCTTGGCAATTTAGCAAAGAAAATACATGGGCGTTGAAAGGAATATAGAAAATAACTCCAAGTGTATGTTGTGTAAAGAGTCCAGAGAGTTTGGAACGCATGTGAAGTAGCTTGGTCCTGTGGGTCATCTTTTCATCTTTGTCAAGATATGTTAGGTTAATAAAAAATTAAAAGCCAAACACATCAGAATTTTTTAAACACAAATAGTGGATTTATTCGTTATTTTAGTGTAAATTCTTGCTTCTGTTTCTGGAATTTGTAAGATTGGCTGAATTGACCAATCAGAAATTAGAATCTATCTTTGGTTGTACCTCCTTTGTCATTGTTTAGAACAATCAGATAATGACTCGGGCTTTTCCGTCAGCAAAAAAAAAAAAAAAACAGAATTTGAAATATTATAAATATGAAGTTATCTTTAAAGTGTAAGCTGCACAATAAATAAACAGTTATTTCATGCTACAACATGATACAACGAAATTGTTATCGTAGGTCTATCTGTAGTAGTTTTCACAGTTTTCCCAGAATGCACTACCATGGCGGCCAAGCATGCGTATTCAAGGAATTTGGACTAACGTAGTTGCTAGCGCTCGAGAGCGCTAGCAATTATACCTCATTATAAATATTCTAAACAACGCGTTATCTGATTGGTTCTATGTTATCACGTGATCGGTCCGTAAAACTTCATATTTCCCGGCCGTCGGCATGCTTTTCATCATATTCCACCTCTTCGGATACTTAGTGCATTTTCCCGCAAAAATTATCGTTCGTTTAAAGAAAACTCCCGAGAGTATAGTAGACGTCACAATAACCTGGTTTACGTCATAAAATTGATGATAATGTGTTGACCAAAGAGTTTTAGTAACGTTTTGTTAAAAATGAAAGTGAATTTGAGAGCGGTGCCGAATTTGAAAGTTTATGTTTATTTCAAAGGTTTTGCTTGTTTCGGTATAATAAACAATTCATTGCATGAATGTTCGGGAAACATGAAGACTTATTCAGCCAAGAAATATATTATTTTAAAATATGATTTTTCTTGGCTGAATAAGTCTTCATATTTCCCTCACTATCATGCAATAAATGTATATTATTTCTTTCCGCTTTATAAATTTAAGCAAACCACGTCAGACAAGCTTTTTAGGAAAGCTAATACTTGTTGTGTCTTTATTTTTAACAATATATGAAGTCTTCGTAACAGAATACATCATACAAATTTATTTCTGCATGACTTGGTACAATATATTTGCCTCCAAAGTTTTTTTTATTAAAAAAGAAAGCTAAAATATATGTCTGACGAAACTCAAAAGGTATATACCAATGTAATTTAAATGGTCATGGATACGAAAATAAATCAAATAAATTATTTCAAAGCCAGAAAATATTTTTAAAAAGTCTTTTCCTCAAATGAGAATAAGAAAATATTTTTACTTGAAACAATGCCTTCTCATGTCTTTGTAAAAATGAAAGTTGGACATTTTCATTTCCTGTGACTGGTCATAAACAAAATGAACTTATTTAAAAATCACTGATTTTACACACAAGTGCTCAGCAATTGATATTGAAAATATATCGGGGTGCCTCATTGACAATATTTATGGAGTCTTGGGGGAACAGATCCTCCAACTCTTAAAATTCCAATGGGCGCTAATTGTGCTCCATTATCAGTTGATAAATATTCCTCAACTCTACAGTTAGATTTATCAACAACGTACAGTGTATTATCAATTATTGATAGTTATTTCTTTTCATATGTCAACTCAACCTATCACAGTGAACTTGAAATGAAAGATACCACAGAGTCTTTCACAACTGTTTCATATTTAGATTGATAGAAAAAGACGTCAATAGTAACCTAGCAACAAAAGAGATCCTCTTGCACCTTGTTTATTTCTCCTCTGCTGAAATCCTTGCTATTCTTGTGAAGCAAAATAAAAAACATTAAAGGCATTATTATTCAGGAGAATGAAAACAAACTTTCCCAATATGCTGATGACACTTCGTTTGCCCTTGATGGTTCATCAAAATCACTAATGCCTTAGATTTTTTTTTTTCACGGTTATCTGGGTTAAAAATAAACAGTAGTAAAATAAAAATTATTTGGATTGGTCAAAACAAATTTTCAAACCAAGTTTTTCACCATCCAAGAAGGAAGTTTGATTGGGGATCATCAACGTTCTCCTTGCTGGTTAACTTTTCAGTAGATTAAGGAACAAATGCTGGCACAAATTACTAGTATATAAATATCGCATGTAGTTGAGTGTAACATTGAAAATTTTCACCCCAAGAAAACCACTGTCAACCGAGGGGTGAAAATTTTCAATGTTACACTCAACTACATGCGATATTTATTATATTATACTGAATGTTTTATACAAATACATATAACAGTGAACCGTGCGCGCATGAATTCTGTGCAGTCGCTAATTTTTGGAATATCACCCGTCGTCAAGCACTATTGACTGTTGCTACGCTGGAGGAAGTGGCTTCATTATTCAGCGGGTAAAAGTGTTTTTTAACAAATGTTTCTCGACCAATCAGATTCAACTAATTTGCATGAAAGTATAATATAATTATAATATAATTCTACCCAAAGTAAAATCTTTGCTACAACGGGTGGAATCGACGAAGATTAACACCTATTGGTCGCGTCACTGTTGAAAACCCTTATTATGCCAAAACTGAATTATTTATTTATTTCTCTACATGCATCTAGCATTGACAAATTTTTTTCATTAAAAATATCTAAAAAAATATTTATGGAAATCAAAATTAATGTGATAAGATTAAGAGATCTATAGCTATTCAGGATAGTCTATTTGGAGTTTAAAGATGGTAAATATTGAAACTTTTTGAAATTCTTGAAATGCACTTGGGTCCTTTAAGACTGTTGATTGCAGGAAACAAACCATGGTTAGATATATCTGGAAGTTAATGGAAAGAATGTTATAAAACAAATTTACGATCATGGAGATTAATAAAGGATATGGAGATAACGAATAGTATTCAAGATCAAAGTCCATAAAACAATACAAAATAGGAGCAGAGCAAACACGGACCTCCGAAACATCAGAGGTGGGATCAGGTCCCATGGAGGAGTGAGCATCCCCTGCTGACCGGTAACACCTGCCTTGTGCTCCTTGTCATGATCGGGAAATAACGGAAAAAATCCGTCGTCAATTCAGTGTATAAACAAAAGACTAACAATTAGTATGAAAAACGACAGTCAGCATTTGACTCCATGATAAATTGTTTTCGCTGAAAAGGTCATTGTATCGACCATAGAACTTACGAAATGATGACTTTAAACGAGACTGCTGATATTCTTGTTTCATCAACAGCAGTTGATATTCTTGTTTACAAAACAGGAGCAGAGCAAACACGGACCTCCAAAACATCGGAGGTGGGATCAGCCAGAAGTGGGATATGTGCCTAGTTCAGCCACAAACTTTTTGAACATATTGTTAAATCAGTTGGTATAATTAAATCATAAAGGTCATGAGGATATGGTAAGTAAGGATTCTACATTTCTCCTGTAAATTTATGAGAACTGCAGACATTTA